ACGTATAAAAATAAAGGATACGTTCCATAATTTTTTAAAACCGCATAAAACTAAATCAATGAGTTACAATATACCGAAAATTGCATAAAAAAGGGTTTATTCAATTTCAGAAAAATTATTAGTCTTACTATATTCTTTCTGAAATGTTTTTTCATAATTTTATAAAAACGTTGACAATCATAGACAAGTTTATTAAATTTATAAAACTTAACAATTCCTTAATTAGTAATTAGTAATTAAAATTCAGAAAAATATAATCTTAACATTTTCCTCTAAATTTATACGGAAAAATTTTACAAAAAAAAATACAGAAATTTTTATGAAAGTTAATCTTTCTTCACATTTTTTTCTTTAGAATTATCGTCGCTATATGAGAGTGTTCGGCATAATTTGCGAATTGGTTCGATGTTGATTTTTCCCGAATGTCCGAATGACCGAATGTATATACAAAAAAATATTCAACAAATAAAATTTTATTTGAAATAATTAAACTAATTATGAAAATTTTAAGTAAATTTAACTTATTTAAAGAATATTAATAGATAAATTGGTTGAAAAAGAAAAAATGTAATTAAGTCAAAAAAAATGTATAAAAATATACGTTTTGCTGATAATTTATACATTTATACTCGATACAATGAATACATTAATAACTCAAGTTGTGACATTAATTAATGTTGATGCGTTTGTTTTTTCTGTCTGCGTTATATTATTGTATTATTGTTGCTTTTTCTTTCGCGTCTGCAAAAGTACTATTAATATTGGCGTGTTTATATTTACTCTTCGTCCTTGTTTCTCCAACCGTCCACAATACATAATACATACACATTTTATTCGGTATTCCTTGGACACTATTATTAGTTTTAAAATGATAAATTATCGCTGCGATGTGTCAGTTTGTTACGAGTCGCTCTAATTAATGTTGGCCTCCGAACGTAACGACCGTTTTCATATTTCACGATTTATCAGGAGGACAATCTCGGACGGGACGGAACCGAAGTCTCCCAAAAACAACACATTATTAATAATAATAAACATCAAACAATATCTGTAGCAACAATCGGTCAACTTCAGAAAAGAAAACTGTGTAAAAATACAACAAATAAATCAAAAGTTTTGATTTTTCTTCTTAATAAAACGTAATTTCACGTTGATAATGAATTAAGTAAAACAATTTGTAGATACATTTTAGATTTATAAATTTTGGAATTTGGAATTGTACTTGTATCAATAATAAAACTTTTTAAAGGAAACACCTTCAAAATCCAAGACTTAAAATTGTATTTCGTCCTAAAAGTTGATAATTAATTAAGTAATACAATTTGTAGACACATTTTATTTTTATTACTTTTCAAAGTTGTTCATTCGTTTTAATATTGTTGTTTTTATTTCAATGTTGGAGTACCACAAGGAAATGTACTTGGACCTTTTTTTGTACCAATCATCAAATTTCTGAAAGAAAACACTGCGAAAAACTTTAATTTAATTTAAGTTTTTTTTTTATATAAGAGAAATATGTGATGAAAGAATGTTGAAGAAAATCTCATTTAAATGAAATTTGCGTTTATATTAAAGAAATAAAGTATTAGAACATTCTATATAAATAAAAACAATGATTGTTTGATTATTGGTACAAAAAAAATTAATTCCAATGAAATTTTAATTGTATCAAAGAAAGTTTTTGTTTAGAAAGTTTCAAACCGTACTATCCACACTATCCGAGGTATTGCAGTATATTTAAAGCAATAAAATATGACAAATAAATGTGATTGAAATAATGATGTAATTAATCGATATAAAAACAAATGTAATTAGTTAATAGCTTATTAAAAGTTTGATTGAATGATTCGAAAAAAAGGGGTAAAAAGTAGACAGAACAGCGATTAAATATAAATTAATTTGGGTCTGTAGGTTTTAAGAATGGAGAAGCGACGGCCCGCAGAGTAAGTTTTTAATTAATCATATTCTTTTGATTGCAAGCTTTTCCCTTCGTTTCTTTCTTTTCCATTTTATTATATATTCTCGTTTTTTTTTCTTTTCTTGTCCACTTCTTTTGGTATTTGGACGTTCATATAATCCACGAAACCATCTGGATTATTATCCTCCTGCTGGTAATTAATAAAGTTTCGTCCTGGAAATCGCGGTCCATCGAGTTTTAAAGTGGTTATTGTTGCAGTGCAGAACTAATCCAAATAACTAAAGACACACTCGAGTTTAGGATAATAATAGGAACCGCAGGGAACTATCGAAGGGATGGACCAGAAACAGAAGGCACTCATACCCATATGCCTAAAATTAATTAATAACTGTGCATCCTTCAGTTTCGATCATCGTAAACTCAACTCAAACTAGAGCTCTTGGCTATTCGGAAATATGGGTTTTTTTTTGTTGCTTGATATTTGGAAAGATAAATAACTTTGTGCTTATTGTCAAACAAGATGTAACTATTAATCTCGTCTGTCAACATGGAGTGACCGAATTCAGAAGCATTTCTCTGCGGAGAAGGTTTCGAGGCTCACGGTTCGACCTCAAAGCCGGGGATCCTCGCAATGCAAACATTCCACGACTGTTTCGCTATGCCAAATTGTTATGTATACACTTTATCCGATTGGGAACTCGAGATAAACCCAACTCAAATTCAACCTTTTCAGTTCAATAATTCTTATGAAAAATTTACTAAACTATTTACAATTTGCTCAGCGATTACACTTTTCAATGTAATCAATAATATTGATGATCCATATGATGCTACACGTATATTATATAATTAACAATTTCATATTTTCATCATTTTGTTAATTTTTATTTTGAATCCACATAGAAACAAATATAATAAGTAGATTCTATTGGAAACAATAAATTACTATAATAATAACATTTATAGAAACAAAATGAATTAGAAATTAAAGAAAACATAAACAAATACAAGATTCTGCTTAGATTCTAAAAATTTAGATTATATTCATTTATTGGTATATATCATAATTATGTACATTACTAATTCCAAGTTTTATATTTTTTTTATTGAAATGAATAAATGTTATAATCAAATATTTGATTTTTTTTAAATTATTTAATGTTTCCATAACTAAATCAAATTATTATAATTAAATTAGTGAACAAATTTAAAATATTTATGGATTTGAATCAAGAAATTCAGTAAAATTTAATTTAGTTTTAGTAAGTATAAAATTGAACAAAATTGAATGAATTTTCTTTTATTATAATATAAAGGATAATATTTTCATCAGCAGAAATCTGATAAGATGATAAGTTTTTATTCAGCTCTGAGATTATATGTATTTTGTTATTAAAATTGTTTGTAATTTTGGAGTAATTTAATTAATTGTTTAATTAATGAAGGAAATATTTAAAACTTATTAACAACATGAATTGCATTTTATTACAAAATCGAAGATAAAAGTTTTTTTATAACTTTTATTACTTATTCACAACCTGCCAACATCTCTGGAAATAAGTCGAATGTTTAATAAAAGTTTAGTAAAAGAAAATTTGATTTCATTTTAAATTTTTCTGTAATTAATAAATTAATTTATCAAAGTTTTATGTTCTTTTTTAGAAAGGAATTTAAGTATGATAAATGTTCAATACAATAAAACAATATTGATGGAATTATAAGTGAGTTATAATGTATTATGTTGGAAGCTTTCAATCGATACTCGATGTCAATCTTATTTGTTTTTTTTGTGTATTCGTGTATATATATATTTTTCTGTTGTTGGAAGAGTTCAATGAAGGGTATCAACAATGTGATTAGGGTTACCTTGGATGCCGTGTTTCGCTAATGCCGTAGAATGCAATCCATTTAAGGAATTATTTTTTTTGTTGGGGGAGAGGGAAGAAATGGGAGAAGAAAGTAATCCGACAGGCCATTATCTCTTCCCGTCCTCCCTTTTCCTCTCGATTTCAATCAATAGGGGCGACAACCGGAAACGCGATTGTCTGTTTTGACGTCTTATTGGAAGGAGGAGGAAAGAATCGATCTCACTTTTTTCTCTTCGTCATCTCTCCATATCAGCAGCATCATTCCATCTCTTTCCTCCATATCCCAAGCACGATACTCGTACACATTTCTTTTTTTTGTTAGTGTGCAGTTCATAATTCATATTACACTCACGGTCTCCTATATCCATTTATACTAGAAAACCCATCTCTATCAGAGATAGAGAGAAGGGGTCTGGATACATTATGGATATGAAAAATATGCACAGATACGGGTGGAAAATGGCTTTCCCCCCAAACCCAGAAAATGGGGGGATTTATGTGATATGTATTTACTTTTATTACGGACTTCCCGTATCCGTTTAAATTGGAAAAACGGTCACTTGATTTGTGTTTATAATTTTGTTGTTGTTGTTTGTTGCAGATACACCGTCTTTCGCGATATCCCGTGAACCGGGTTTCGGGTTTCCTATAAGGGAGGGAATGCCCGTTTCGTTGAAATGCGACGTCGATGCGAACCCCAAGGCGGCGCCCATCTGGCAGAAGGATGACACGGATCCACCGGTTCAGCAGACGCCTGACGGATTCCTCAACTTCACCGAGATACGCAGGGAGCACAGCGGATGGTACAAGTGCATCTCCAGGCATCTTCTCGGAAGATTCTCCAGCATCGGATACTTCCTCAATGTCAGATGTAAGTAGTTTAGAATTGATAGAATTACAAAAAAAAAATGCAGAAATAACTCCCACATTACGAAAAATCACTGTGTTAATCACTATTATGATAGCATTTGGAGGATGTAAATTAAAAACTTAAAGCAAAATAAACTGTTTTATATCTACATTCGAAAAATACAAAGTTTTTCGTGATAACTCGTATCATTTTTTTTTCAATTCCTCTTTAAAATATGGGAGTTATTTCTGCCGCACCCTGTACATTAGTATTTAAATTCACTTTTTTATAAAAAAAATATTTAAATTCAATTAATCCCATAACTGCAATAACATTAATAATATTATTTTAATCAAAAACATCTACAATACTGAATACCTTCCTTTTCTATTTACGACTTAATGTATTAATTTTAGTCAATCATCATTTTGATTAAAATATTGAAATCCTATAAAATCAATAATAAATCTAGGGCAGAAAGTAATAGATTTTTACAGCAGATGACTTTTTATTTTGTATTGTTGCAAGAAATATTTTATCCTAAATGTTTGATAAGTAACAAAAAAGTTGGAGATCCATAAGTTTCTGTTCTAGTCCACGACTTTATCAATGACAAATTCTGATAATCTAATTAACATTTGTGGATATTTATAACAGATTTTGAATTATAATTTAAAAAAAAAACAATATTCATGGCTTATAATATCAACAAAATATTCTAAAATCAAACCAAAATTATCAAACCTTATACCATTTCGAGGATGAAAACTGTTCAACAAAAATGATTAACTTATAAAGCAAATAAATTGCAAAATTGGGATACACCGACCGCTCATAAATTTTTATAAAATTGGACACACGGGCACACGAAAAAAAAGAAGAGAAACAAAAACAAACCCGAATGATATATAATATATTTAGAAAAAAAAAACAAAAAATTTGGACCGTTGCATAAATAAATTGGGACAATGGGATTCGAATGCACGTTGTTATATAATTCATTTTAAAATAAATTGTTTTTCATGGTTCCTTGGATATTTCGATGCGGGTTATCAATCACATAACTGTCTCTATGTATTTATATACATATACGTGAATGCGAACGAGTAAAACATAAATTGTTTAATTCGATTATTATGAAAATGTGTGTGTGTGTGTATGTGGATGCATATGCATAGATTAATAATAACATAAACGGAAATAATGCAAGCGTATAATTCATCTTCCATATTCATTTGTCCGGTTACGCAAACACACCTACACCCAGGCTAATATGTGCACATACTCGTACACGTAGAGAGCCGCACGTTTTACTGGTTATATAATAAACAGGGCAGTTCCATTAAACTTAATGCACATTACAAATCACGTATTTAATAAATAACGCGGACATTAATAAAATTTCGCGTTGGCTGTGTGTGCATATGTGTTGGGAGGGAAACTGGGGGGAATTCCCCGTCGCCTCGCGACTCCTGGATTCAATTAATTGCCCGATTCCATTTTCGGTAAATAATTAATCAGCAATAGTCATCAGTCACAAAGCGGTATCAGCTTTCCCAAATTTATAATGTAAAATGTGTTCGTGCATTTGTGTCACCCCACATTATATTCATGAAAATTACTTCAATGATTCGAATGGAAACTGATCAAATGATTAGAGTGAATACTTAATTCAACCCTTTAAGTGGTTATGTCGTATATATTCGTCATGGTCTCTTGTATTGCGTAGCGCCTATGACGAATATATTCGCATCATTAATTTACTTGGTATACGCGTAATCCTTCATAGTAAAAGAGATGCTATTTACTATGTAGAAAACAAAATATACGTGGCCACTAGGGAAGTCATTTCATACATTGCATCAATGATTAATAGATTTAGAAGAAATATTAGAGATTTGATAGATAATTACGGCTTTATGGATTCCATCAGTGCGGTTTTACTATTGTCCACTTTGAAAAATTCAAAGGAAACTATTGGCAAGAAAGGAATTACGGTTTTCACAAATAGATAGCGTTATGTTAGTTTTTCCTTTTGTCATTTGAGAGATGTCACCTTTAGTTGCCTTTAGAAGCTAATTGCCAACCACAAAGCGGTATAAGCTTTCCGAAATTTATAATGTAAAATGTGTTCATGCATTTGTGTCACTCCACATTATATTGATGAAAATTACTTCAATTTTACGTTGATTCGAATGGAAATTGATAAAATGATTAGAGTAAATACTTAATTAACCCCTTTGGTTTTGTCGTATATATTCGTCATGGTCTCCTGTATTGCGTAGCGCTTATGACGATTATATTCGCATCATTAATTTAATTGGTATACGCGTAATCCTTCCTAGTAATAGAGATGCTATTTACTATGTAGAAAACAAAACATACGTGGCCCGGCTATCGCAAGCCCGACAACCGAAATCCCGTCCATCGAAATCTCGACGTTCGAAATCCCGAGTGTATCGAAATCCCGTCTGGCTCAAAATCTCGACTATATCGAAATCCCGACAGTGTCTTTCATTATTATAAATTTCTACAATAACATTTTTATGGTAGTCGGGATTTCGATATAGTCGGGATTTTCACATAGTCGGGATTTTCACATAGTCGGGATTTTCACATAGTCGGGATTTCAAGCGTCGGGATTTTAATACAGCTGGGATTTCGAACGTCGGGATTTCGATGCACTTGGGATTTCAATAGACGGTCTTTCGGTTGTCGGGCTTTCGATATAGACCCACGTGGACACTAGGGAAGCCATTTCATATATTGCATCAATGATTAATAGATTTCGTAAGTTGTATAGTTATATTAGAAGAAATATTTGAGATTCGATAGATAATTACGGCTTCCATCAGTGCGGATTTACTATTGTCCACTTTGAAAAATTCAAAAGAAACTATTGTGATGACAAGAAAGAAATTACGGTTTTCACAAATAGATAGCTTTATGTTAGTTTTTTCTTTTGTCATTTGAGAGATGTCACCTTTAGAAGCCAATTGACGTAATTTTATTTACAGCTGTTAGTTTAGATTCATTTTTAACAGGAATCGAAAAAAAAATAAAAGTATTTTCATACCAATAACAAAAATATAGTTTCAAAAGCCTTTATTTAAGAGTTAATATTTAAGAGTTAATAATTGCTTTTGAAACTATATTATTGTTATTGATATGAAATACTAGAGTTAATAAATAATCAAAAAAAAAATTATTGGTAGAAGTTTACAAATATTCAATTTTACTTATAATTTTATATTTATTGTTAGTAAAAATAATAAATTGACAAGAAGTAAAGATTGCGTAATGATGTATAATATTTTTATTTGATTGTACAATGGAAACGTATCGTTTAATCTTGTTTAACTGAAACACATACAGAAGAGGAGTTTGAAATAATTTTCGCGCACTGGCAACTAATTATTTTCGCTGCTGCTGCCCTAATTGCTACATCAATTGATTAAAGTGCTAACAGATTTGCATGGTCAAATAAAAGGGGACGCATTATTGGATACAACTACCCCATCCCCATCACACACACACAGTTTATTGCAAACATTTCACCGCAAATACCAGTTCTGCCAGCAATTCCGAATAATTCCAAACGCCTATTTCATAAAATAACCTTTGCGTTTTTACACATTTTACGTTTCATTGAAATAGTTATATTTAGATATACTTAGACTAAAGATTGTAAAATTACCGATAATTAATGAAATATTGAAATTTTTTGATCATTTGAATGAAATTTACACGATTTTTTTGTATGAATCTTGATTTGAAATAAATACAAAACTTGATATTTTTCTATAAATTCCTGTTTATATTAGTTACTAGAAAATACTGAAATTAGATCTAAAGTGTAGACATTTCCTTTTTAAGGAAAGATTTTTTTAAATTTTTATTACAAATCCTGATTTTGAAAATTATAAAGAATTCAATTAATTATTTCACAAAACTAGTACAAATAAGTACTAAACTGTATGTTCACTATAAATTTCTGTTTATTTAATTTATTCAATGAATCTATTACATAATCAAGTAATCAATATTTTTTTTAGGAAGAATATTGTGATTTTATTACAGCAATTTTTAAGTTTTTTTTTTCAATTCAAATCTTGTTTATGAAAATTGCAATGTTTATTTTTTCTATAAAATACTGAGATTTCCTTCATTACGTTCGTAAATAAGAAATGATTTCTGATTGACCGTTTTTGAATACTTATAAATATAAACATTCACAAATTAACAATTTAGAGTTTACAAATTTTCTCTTCCTTAATGAAGAATTTTGTTAAAGTAAAGTATCAATTTCGTAATATCTTTCACATAGATAAAAATAGAAACTAAATCGGAAAATCGTCTAAAACCTATAATTTTTATTTAATTTATTTCAATTAGGTATTGTTGTTCATAAGCATAAATGTTAAATAATAATTATTAGAAAAATAATACTTGATTTTATTATAATTATACCAAAAAGTTTTATGAGAATGCTTTGAGCATTATAAAAAAAAAATCTGCAACGTTATGCATATCATATAGAATTGTTATTGTTGTTTTTTTTTTCATTGTTGTGTAGAGTATTAGCAACACTCGGAATGCAAATGTAATCTGAGCTGCATTCTTTTTAATCGTCGTCGTGGCTCTGCTTTTGCTGAAATGAAATTTAATTTGGATTTAATTAAAAAAAATGCATGCGTGCGCGGCGCTCTTGTGTGCAAATGTATAAATTAATGTGGTATAATTAAAAGTTTCGGATCGCTCCAGAAATGCAAGTACGGTGCAGAAATGTTTAGCGAAATCCTGCGGATTAAATACAAAGTAATCTAAGGACGAGAGCGAGATGACTGCAGATTGAATGAGTGAATGAATGAGAGAGAAAGAGAGAGAGAGAGGTGAAAGGACGAGAGCGTTTGAGCCTCCTGCCCTCATCCAGGACGAGAACCGGAGTCGCTCAGGACGTTCATAAAGGGAAACGCAGATTATTATTACTGCTGCTAGTAGTAGTCCTGCTATTGCGAACACAAATACTCTCGTGTTTTCGTTACGAAACAATTAAACCGTTTATACTACTTATACATTCCTGGATTTACTTCATTCCGTTTGCCGAAAAAGCAAACTGCTTCTCTTTGCACAGCGAATGATGACTACAAAGGGACGCGATTTACGTCTGAATCATTCATATAGTTTTAAATAAATAATAAACAAAATAGTCTAAATATGAGTATTTGTGTGTTTCAAGTAGCAAAGTTTAATACTCATTCTCAATTTAAAAAAGTTATGCTTGAATTTTAGTATCATAAATTATAAAATTAATCTAACACAATCTCATTAAAGTTGATCTTTCTTAAGATAACATGAACTAATGTACCCTAAACAAATCTTATCCAAAAACAGCTTAATTTGGAACAACAATAATCTGGATATACACAATAGTAAGACATAAACCAATATAAGAATTAAGATCAAAGTTAAATCATTTATTAATTACATTTCAAAATAGATTTTCTACTGAAATTTAACTGACTAAGTAATTTTTTAATTAAACTTACAAAATATTACCAAAAAGTTTTTAAAAACTTTCGTTTCTTCCATATTTAAATTCTGTTCAACATTTACAATACTTATTGAAAATCTATATTGAATATGCAAAGTTTTATACTCATTTCGACATCAAAAAGTTACACTTCAATTTTAGTATCATAAATTATAAAATTAATCTAACTTAATCTCATTAAAGTTGATCTTTCTTAAGATAATATGAACTAATCCGCACTAAACAAATCTTATCCGAAAACAGCTTAATTTGGAACAACAATGATCTGGATATACGCAATAGTAGAACATAAACTAATATAAGAACTAAGATCCAAGTTAAATCATTTATTAATTACATTTCAAAATAGATTTTCTAATGAAATTTAACTTACTAAGTAATTTCTTAAATAAACTTACAAAATATTAACAAAAAGTTTTTCAAAACTTTCGTTTCTTCCATATTTAAATTCTGTTCAACATTTACAATACTTATTGAAAATCTATATTGAAATTGTATTTTAATGATTCAAATTTAATTTTATACTGAAATTAAATTTCATAATAACACAAATCGTTGAAATTATGCAAAAATCTACAGATTTTGTGCTAATTTTTAAATGAAAATTACAAAATCTGATCAATCGTTTTTTAATAACTTTCGTTTATTTTCAGCATTTATTGAAAAATGTACATTGAAACTACATTTTCATATATTTCAAATTTAATTTTATACTGAAATTTACTTCCATAAGAAGAAAAATCGTTCGAATTATGCAAAAATCCATAGATTTTCTGTTGATTTTTTTTTCAATTAAACTTTAAAAATCTTGTTAAAGTTGTTGTTAATATATTTTTTAAATTTTTTCTACAAATATATTGAAATGGAAACAGTATATAAATATTAAAGAAAGAAATATTTGTTGTGATGATAAAATTGTTGAAATAATTGAAATCATAGAAATTTTATTTAGAACGATTTTCTGAGGTGATGAATTGTTTATTCGGTATACATTTTTTACTGGTATTTACTTAGTTTTCAAGTTTAATAACTACTGGAGTACACTTATCCACGTGTATGAGGCGAGTTGAAGAGTGTGAGAGTAAAATGTATATGTGTGAACGCTTGCTTTTCTATATGTATACGTATACATACACCCACCTAAGTAAAGCTGATACGGAATAAAGTTTTGAAAAGCCCTTCCCGAAGGGCGCGCATTGACGAAGCAAACAAAACGTCGAGTTGGCTCGAAGGTAATGAGGTGTTTGAGGCGGTTCTGCCCTCTTGTATTTATTAAAGAACGTCCCGAAGATTGCATTTTGAATAATTTATCCGAAAACCCAACCAACACATCCCACCCCCATTAACCGTGTTCAAGCAACGCGCGAATATTTAACAGTTACGATAGCAACAACAGCACAGAAGACCGGCTCTAATTATTTCCGTATAATTTCTACTCTTTACATCCCTCCTTTGTGAAATGCGAATAAAATAAGCGTAAAATTAATGGTAATTTTCTTCGGTTGCAAAAACAACAAAATAAATAAAAAGCTTATTTCTCTTTAATAAATACAATTACGGTGAATGCGAAAAGCAAAATAAGCACGAGGAGACATAAATATAGTGTTTTTGGAAAGAGAGACGGAGAAAAGAAAATAATATTGGAAACAGGATATTCCCATTAAGTTTGGAATCTTGTATCTCACTAACCTGTAACCAAGAAGGACATAAATCAATAAACTGATTCACTTCGGAAGATTTAGTGGCTTCTGCAGAAGCGTATTTCCCCTTTCGACGATAAATAGAAATTGCTTTTACTTTTTATTTTCCTTTTTTTTTGTCAATTTCTATCTCAATCTTAACCCTTTTTTCTCTCTCTTTTTGTTCTAATTTAATTGGAATTTTTTTCGTGTAATGTTTTTCGTTCTTCTGCTTGCTTTCTTCCAGATGACATGGAAGTCACTCAGGAGCCGGACTTCGACATCGGCGAGCTGAGCTCCACTGGGAGACAATTAGAGGTGGCCCTCGGAGGAGCCGTCCAACTCGCCTGCCCCCCAGGTCGGTAATTCAGCTCTAATTTAAAGTGTTTAACCTTTTTCGACCCAACCCTCCCTCTCTCCACCAACCTATGACCTCTCGAAGCCCATTTGGCCGCAAAAGTGCACCACGAGCAAAAGTACTATCTCTGCGGGAGGCTAAGTAGATAGCAAAAAGAGGATCCAATAAACCACAACAACGTTTAGTTGGCTATTTCACTGGTAAAAGCCAGTAATCAGACTGAAACTAAACATTACGTTTTTTTACACCAATTCACAATGATAATTTGTACTACAACAAATTTATTACAGAAATCACAATCAAACTCAAGTACATTTTACAAAAAAGTTAAATTCGGTATTTCTTACAAAAACTAATATATGATTAATTTCATTATTAATAGTTAAACATTAATTAACATTACTACATAATTGCACTGTTTTCTTCAAAACAACTTCAATAAACTTCACAAATATTTTGTGATTTATTTCAGTATTATTACTATAAAAATAAGAAATAAACTCAATATTATAATATTAAGATAACATGAACTAATCCACCCTAAAAAAATCTTATCTGAAAACAGTTTAATTTGGAATAACAATAATCTGGATATACACAATAGTAGAACAAAAACCAATATAAGAATTAAGATCAAAGTTAAATCATTTGTTTATTACATTTCAAATTAGATTTTCTACTGAAATTTGACTTACTAAGTAATTTTTCAAGTAAATATTAACAAAAAGTTTTTCAAAATTTTCTTTTCCTCCATATTTAAATTCTATTCAAAATTTACAATACTTATTGAAAATTTATATTGAAACTGTATTTTAATGTTTCAACTTTAATTTTATACTGAAAT